TAACCTCCACTGATACTACAGCCAGGTATGAACTGTAGGTAAGAAACCCGCCCAGGGCAGGGGGGCTGAGCACTGCTGCAGGGCAGACACGGGCACAGGGCACACAGATCAAAAACAGCCAGAGAGGCCTGAGCTGTGTTTATGGCTTCCAACAGTTTTTCATATGCATAATGCTCTTTGTTGTCACTCCATGCTTGCAGCCAGCAGCACCTCCTCCAGTGCAGATCACCATGCAGGTGAGAACAGAGTTTGCTGCTGACTGAGACACAGCTGCCCTCGTGCCATGGCACTGCCACCTGGTCCAAGGTCCACCTGGAGCACCAGCTTAGGGCTCCTCTGGTTTAGGGCTCCTTGCTCCACCACAGCATCATCCAGAGCTGCTAAGACAGCAACTGTGGCTGTTCTGTTTCAAGACAGTTCTTTCTTTTGCAGGTCTGCAAATCCCTCTCTTCCTCTCAGTTGGTCCTTAGCCTTCAAGAGAGGCTGGTTTGGGTTATTTTTTTAATGAACCACTACTCTTGTGAGAAGAAATTTTCCTTGAAGGTGATTTAAACACAACATCCTTGTGCACCAGTTCTAATGGCTGGAGAAGGCAGGTGTGGGGTGAATGTAAGAGCCATCTCAAAACAGTGCTTTTATGTGTGCATTCCACCAGCTGGTACTCAAAGTGGATTTGTCACTGTGGAAGTTGGTACTGACCCATTTGAACGTGGAAATGTGTCATTTCTCACAGGAGAGGAGCTTCCCCCCTCAGCTTTTGTGCTGCCAGATGCCTGTCCCAGCTCCTGAAGGAGGTGGGAGATGAGGGAGGGACTCTGAGGAGCCAGTGCCAGCCAGAGGACCGGGGAGGACATTCCTGCACACACCTACACGGATGCAGCGGGGAGCCCTCAACGGAGAAACCTGTGAGTATGATTATTTCCTAATGCCCTTTCTGGTAGATTTCTTTCCCTGTAGCAGATGTTCACTAATCAGAGGATGGATTCAGTTTCAGGTATTTGGAGACTCACAAGTTTTTTACTTAATACACAATAAAACCTTTACTATCTGCAAGGGCTTGCCATCTCCTTTTCTGATTCTTATTCAGACAAGATCAGGACTGGGGAGAATATAAAATACAATCCTATTCCAGCTACAGTTCTGATTCCTGTATTTTCTAATGGAGTTCTAATATTATTTTCTGGGGAAGGAGAAGGTGGGAAGGAGGAGAAGCACCCCTCTGCTGTCTCACACAGAACTTGTGTTTGTCACTTCTTTAAAGGCCAGCTAACTCAAGAACGTGATCAATTTCTAATGCCCCCACATGCACTTTCAAAACTGGAACTTGCTCCAGCTTTTAAGAAAAGCAATTCAATAACCAGCCAATTTATACCACTAGTCCATTGCTCTCCCTCTCGACCAAGCAATTGATCTGTACAACATAAATCCCACTGTTCTTCTAAAACTGAAGCAATTAAAACATAAAGAGTTAAATTAATACAAAAGGCCATCACTGGTTGGTTGTGCTGCAGTTTCAGAAAACCACACTTTTAATTGCACGGGGGCAGGTGAGCACAGTCAGTCATGAATGGCCTCCCCTTCCTAAGACAGAGACCAGGGAGACTTTTTTCAACTTTCTAGAAATTGTTCATAGCCACTGCCACCAGCCGTGTCTCCACTGTCTTTAAAAGGCCTGGGGTGAGAGCACAGGTCTCTTGGCACTGGCTGGCAATTTGACTCTTTTCTATGTAGCACCCGTATTTTTAAAAAAAAATGAACGCAGTCCTTGTTGGAGCATTTTCTAAGATTATTTAAGAGAGCAGCAACCTTGCAGCATCTGACCTTGCTTTCACAGAACACCCCCAGAACCATTCAGGCCTCTAAGCACGTTCTTCATTTCCAGTGACTCCCAAAGGAGGCCCCTGCGTGCCTGTGTGCCGGCCCAGCAGGGAGCAGCCCGGGGGCCGTAATGACCGCAGGGCTCCAGCCCGCGCCCAGCATGGCGCCAGGACAGCGCACACCGCAGGCCGCGCCGGGCAGCGGGGAGCAAGATGTGATTGGCTGCAGCAGCGCATGAGCAGGAAGCTGATTGGACGGTAGGAAGCGTGGGCAGAGTAGGAGCAGGAAGCTGATTGGATGGCAGGATGCGTGGGCAGAGTATGAACAAGAAGCTGATTGGATGGCAGCATGCGTGGGCAGAGTACGAGCAAGAAGCTGATTGGACGGTAGGACGCGTGGGCAGAGTAGGAGCACGAAGCTGATTGGATGGCGGGATGCGTGGGCAGAGTACGAGCAGGAAGCTGATTGGATGGCAGCACGCGTGGGCAGCAGCATGGCAGCTGAGCCAGCCAATAGGTGCAGTTCTTCTGTTAAGTGTCGGGTTGGTTTCAGTTGTGTCAGGTTAAAACTAAAGGTACAAAAAGGGGCCGATCTCTGCAATAAAGGGATCTCCTTCAGCTGCATAAGGGGTCGCCTTGCTCCCCACTGCTACAAACACACAGTTGGCTTTCTCAAGTTTCTGGATGCACACAGGACAAGTTCTCACCCTCCTTCCTCGAAGCAGGGTTAGGATCTATAGTCAGCTCTTTGGAATTATCAATGATACTAAATTTGGGGTTTCATTTTTAGAACTTAAAATTTTTGCACCAGACAGATTATGCACTGTTGACTGGAGTGACGCAACAAAAAAGGTAAAGAAAACAATGTGAGGATTCTACAGCAGGAGGCAGAAATAGCAAGAACCAAACTTGGTTCCAACATTTGGCTTTACTGTAACCCACAGTGGTCACAGAACTGCTTGTGAAAAGAAAAAGGTAAGGAAGAGAAACTTTGTTAATGTGCAGCCCCAGTGAAAACAAGCATTGGCTTCAGAAAGTATGCTTTCAATTAAAATTATGTAACTGTATGTTCCAGAGGTTCAAACGTGGTGTCTAAATTACCACTTAAATTAGCCAGCACAAGTATCCTATAGAAATGAATGTTTCAAATCTCACCTCAGCAACAAAGGCTAATTTCCGATTATTTATAAACCACATAAAATGTAATAATAGTTTTAGTGACAGGGGATAAATAGGGTAGGCAGGCCTAGAGACAGAAATAGGTATGTACAGATATTGATGGGTAGAGACAGTGCTAGACAGGCACACGGAGAGAGATGGAGACAGAGAGGTTGACACAGGTAGAGGCAGCTCTAGAGAGAGGTGTGGGTACAGACAGACATGGACAGGTAGAGAGACAGGCTGACAGATATGGACAGACAGAGAGAGGTGCTGACAGATTTTGTCAAGCAGAGGTAGATATTGACTATCTAGATAAAAGACGTTTTTGACAGGGAGAGGTAGTGACAGGTACACACAGACACTGACAGGTAGAGACAGGTACAGATAGATCCTCACAGATTCTGTTAGACCCTGACAGATTCTCTAAGATTTTAGCTGATTCTGTTAGATTTTGGCAGATTCTGACACATTTTGGCAAATTCTCCTGTATTCTGATGGGTTCTGATAGAGATATTGGCAGTGCTGGAGACAGATCTTTGACAGAGATTTTGTCAGATATTGACAGGTACAGAGAGGGAGATCTATATAAAGACAGAGAGTGACAAGTACTGATAGGTGGAGTAATTATAGATGGATAGAGACATGCATAGATGACTAGTGATACATACATAGGTAGAGGTGTATATATAGAGAGGTGTAGATAGATATAGATACATAGAGGCAGAGATAGGTTAAGACAGGCAGAGCTAAATACTGCCAGGTATAGAAAGGCACTGAGAGGTATGCAAGGCACAGGTAAGTATCAGCAGGTACAGACAGGCAGAGATAGGTATGGTTTGACAGACATACAGACATAAGTACAGACAGGTATAGGTACAGATAGGCAGAGATAGGTATGGTTTGACAGACATACAGACATAAGTACAGACAGGTATAGGTACAGATAGGCAGAGATAAGTATAGACAGGTACAGATAAATGCAGAGAGCTGTAGGTAGGGATAGACAGATAGAGCAGGTGTGTGGATAGGCAGGGGTAGGTACAGAGAGGGATAGACAGAGATGCGTAACCTGAGACAGGTATAGGTGGATAAAGACAGAGACAGGTAGAGATTAATACAGACAGGAACAGACAGATGGAGGGACACAGAGACTGGTGTCACTGGGTGTAAATAGGTACAGATTGATACAGATCAGGATACCCAGAGACAGATGAACACAGATAGCCAGGGACAGGTACAGACACAGACAGGAACAGCTGGGGAGAGAGCGATAACAGAGAGCAAGCATTCTGAACTATGTGAGTGGAAGTTCCTTTGAAAATAGTGCAAAGTATGTAAAGGGTAGGAATGTGCCCAGTGTCTTACCTGGTTTTGGTGCCATTTGGCAGATTTACAGCTTGAAATCACAATCCTATGTGCTCCAGGTAGAAACACGTCACAGAACATGGGAATGTGGAGGCATTTTATAGATGGCTGTGCTGAGGCCAAGTGCATAAAAGTTCCATAAAAGCACAAAATGTCTTTTCCATGGCTAATGATACTTGGCTGTAAAGGAGCTAATAACTCTTAAAGCAAGTTCAAGCAAAATCAATAAATTCACTCAGGAATCAAGTCACCTTGCTCTTCCTGTTATTTATTTCGTAGACCTGTAGAATGTCTTGCAGCATTTTTTTCTGGCCTGGAACTCCACCCCTGGACTGTTTTTATTGTGTTTAGACACACACATGAGCATATTCCACATGTGTAAGCTAATGCACCTTACAGTTCTGCAAACCAAACTACTTCAGAATAACAGTGATAATGTGCTGTGAGAATTTAAAAAGAAAAGGTGATTGTTATTCCTTTAAAGCCAGAAGTCCTATGTGTCACTGCTGTAGATTCTCGCTGTTAAGAGGGTATTAGAAAAGAAAATAGGATTTGGAGTGACAGTGGAACATGCTGCAAGCACAAGAAAGCCCAACTCAAATGTAACACCTAGTCTGACCAACAGAGTACTTGATGCCACTTTTCTTTTCTACTTACCGCAGACATGATGAGCTCTCCACCGAGATTCTGGATTTCTGCTTTAACCTGGCTGCAGATCTTGAGCTGGTGGGAGTACAGTTTGATCTGTTCTAGGTAAGCTAGTAAATCCTGTTTGCAGGACTGGTCTGGGCACTGAAAAGAACAATAAATAAAACACTTCAGTAACTGCTGATTCAAAAGGATGTCTCAGGAATGACGTTGAAACTTCACTGAGGAGTATTCCAGTTGCAGACTGCTAGAGCCTTGCTTTTCACTGCAGTTTGATCAGGCTGCAAAGTTCATTCCCCTTGGGAAGCTTTTTAATACCATAGTTGGAAGCTCAGATGAAGCCTAAGATTCCCCATATGCACTCTGCATTTAACACTGCTGTGCTTGCCTTAGCAGTATTTCTAAACATATCTTTAGTGTATAGAGTAATTGCTTCCAGTCCTTAGATGATCTCTAAGAAAATACCTCTGTTAACAGTGATGAGGGCAATCCAAACAGATTTTGTGGGCTATGTAACCATACATGCAGAGACATATTAACATCTATAAGTTATGCTTTAGCTTGTAATGTGATCTATGGGGTTTTTTTGTGTTCCATCCAGACTGTATTGAACTCAGTCTGCAGGTCTTCTCTAGCTGTGGGAACAGCAAAATTAGAATGTCTTATGGAAAAGTCACAATAAAAATAGTCAATATTTTTAACAATACAGATATTATAGAAATAAAAATAGGATTGCTGTAACCTATTTTTTTTCCCAAAACACGTGGAGTACTTGGAGTGCAATGTTGCTCTGTGGGTACCAGGCCAGCCATGAAAGGCTGGGTATGAATTTTTTCTAAGGCTGATTCTCATTGCTCTGGCAGAATAAAGGGATCTTAAGGTGAATGGTGAGCCCCTGTACTGCTCCCACAGCTGGAAAGAGTAAGAGTGATAAAAAAGCATGAGATCCCTGCAGGTTTGCAGACATGGTGTTAGCCTGGCTGTGGTACACAGATGATAAATACAGCCCCTTCCTTTTGACAAGAAACTCTGTTCAGCTTTGCATGCTGGAAAAGCAAAGATACATCCCCACCAACTGCACACTGTCAACAATCACCTGTGGTTTTATTGAACTGTGGTCAGTGGATTTAAATCCAAAACCCACCAGGAGCCAAAAAAAAGCACCAATTCTACTTAACTCCAAAAGTATTTCAGCTCCTGGCTTTGCTGAAGCAATAGTACATGTTCAAAGGGCTGGTGTGACAATGCTGTTCTTCATGGATATGCAATAACAGCAAGTTTATGTTTTAGACTTAGCAAAAGGTAACAGTAAAGGAAGGTCAGAGTGTACAATGTTAAATTCATTAATATGACTTAACATCAGTCCTTACCTCACATTCTGCTACATCCATTATTGTTTCCTGTATTTGGGCACAGTTTACAACAAAACCAGAACATTTCCTTGACATGTTCTCTTTCTGTGTGATGGAAAACTGCCCTAAAATATGGGGGTTTTTTCCCCTTCTAAAGCACTGCATTAAGGACTGCCCAAATCAGTATTTATATAATAGTATCTCTGTGTTTAGAAAGCTGGAATACCCAGTTTATTTAATTTAATTAATAAAAAAATATACTTCAAGTAAAGTACAATACAATCCCTTAGAACATCACAACTCATTATACCAAGATGGTGTGTATTCCTGGAATGACATTCTTCCTCCTCTGTTTTTTTCTTTCCTTAGTTACACTTTGATTTTATCCCTCTGGCCAGAAAAAATCAAGAGAAAGGAGTTTAGGGTGCCAGTATCCACTTCAAACAGTGACAATACCAATTTCAGAAGTTCAGAGACAGGAATGATTATTATATAGTACTCTTGTATATTATAGTGTCAGGCTACTCACAGGTACTGTCTCCCTTCCTCAGCAATGCAGAAGAAATGTGTACCATTTTAGGAATGCTACAGATGACACACATCAAAGGCCAGGAAACTGCACTCAAAAACAAGACCATGAGGTTCTGTGGAAACATTTTCAGTGTTGGAAGCATTCAGAAAAGAAAATGCAGGGCATTGGATAAGAAAATTCTCCTGAAATATAATTATGCAACTGTACAAGGCTGTGGCATATCCACAGCTGCACTACCCAAGTAGACACAGTGCACCCTTGCCCTGCACTGCCCCAGCCAAGGCCCAGATGGAAGAAGGAAGATTGTTCTGAATCCTGCTATTCTTCCTCCATTACAGACCCCAGGGGCCATTCAAAGTGACTCCCAGGAGCACAAAACAAAGGAAATGGTTTTGAACACGGGGTTGCTCAATTGCAGAAATCTGTGTTACAGAATGATTACATTAAAATTTTACCTAAGTAAAAGAAATTACTGGACAAACAAATTAAAAGTATCAAGGATTATTTCCCATGTCAAGTGGATCAAAAATATTTTTGGTTATGTAAATTCTGGCATGGCTGCTAGAGGCTGGGAGCGCCATGGAAGTCAGGCCACGCTCTCCCGAGCTGTGTCAATACCCAGTGACACCTCCTGGTAGCAGCAGGGACCAGCACATCCGTGCCTGAGCTCTGGCCACAGCACCGCAGCAGAGGGTCGGGCCAGCCAGGAAACTAAACCTCATGCCTTGTAGCACGTCAGATCAGCCATCAACAGATGTTAGGAACAAATGTTCTGCAGGGGGGACACTGCAGAAGGAATCATCTACCTATTGCTCAGAGGCAGCTGGTACAAGCAGCACTTGCTCAGCAGCAAAACCAAACTCCAGGCTGCAACAGAAGGACAATCAATACATTCTGAGTTTCACCATCCCACAGGTATGATGGTTACCAGTTTACTGCTGCACATTCCTGACTGGAGAGCCCATCAGATTCTGAGAGGTTTTTCCTCACACACCCCACGGGCAGCAGCTGTTGCTAACAAGGGCTTTCTGTAAGAGCAGCATCAGAACTGGCCTGCATCCCAAAGATGCAGTGGTATTTTACCCAACAGAATATCCACCACACATCCAAACAATGTGAGAAATTAAAATAATGTAGTGATTACAACCAGACTGAAACCAGCATTCACCATCCAAGTGAGAAAGGCAGTGGCACAGCAGTTGCACAGGAGCTCCTGCCCACAGACCACTGGGAGTTTGCTTTGTTCTCACTTCATCCACTTGCTAACAAAGGCCAAAGCATTTCTCTACAGAATCCAAATCTGTCTTCATGGGGATCAACACTGGGGATAATCACACAGCACCTACTATAAATGTGTGCTGGGCACAGACAGGAGGCAGCTTTGCTGCTCCACCAGTGGGGTTCTGTCACCCAGAGGGATTACAGAGTGTGTCACTGACCATTGTATTAGTTCTGACAAGCAGCACTCCGAGTGACCCCAGCCAGAGCCTGCCTGACTGGGAGCCTCATGGTGCAACACAGAGGAGGCTCTTAATGCAGACCTCACTCTTCAGCGTATTCCATCAATCCAGGGTGAGGTACTCACTGCCTTCATTATCTTGGGGCTTCCAGGTCACATTAAGCAGCAAAAGTTTTCTGACAGAAGGGACAAAGAACAAAAATCTTCTGACAAAAGGGAACGTCTCCTGACAATGAATTTATAATGCACTTGTGATTCATGTGCATAGGTTGCTGTTGATGCTGTAACTGTGAGGATTTGCACCCTTGTTAGTCTGAGCCATCCTGGAAGTGCTTGTGACTGTGGACTGAAATACAGCTGAGTTCTGCTAATTGTACCACACTGTATGCCTTCCCTTCAAACACAGCAACGGGGAGCTATAAAAATCATACAGATCCTTTTTTTTACATAATAGAAATGCTACAGAATTTAGTTGTTAGTAAAAAACAACATGTGAAATACTCCACTAAAAAGTCCCAATGCTGCTCAGGAAAGCACTACTGGCACTTATGTTTGACTCTGGGTACCAAATTCCTGAATGGCTTATCCTGTTTGGCCCAAATTCAAAGCACAGTTATTTGGTAGCCCAGAGGAATGTAAAGTTTATTTTATTTTAAGACCCCAAGAGTGCAGGGCATAGGAAACCTAGCAAAACAACAGCTGAGAAATGGAATTTGAAAATACCTTTGAGATTAAAAAAAAACCCACCACAATGAGAAAAGAGCTTTCTAAGTTAAAGGACAACTTTGCACAGCCAAACAAAAAAGCTTTTAAACCTTCTTTTAACAGAAGTTAAAAGCTCTATAGCCATGCAAGGAATGAGAGTACTAAGAATATCTGTAATAGGAGGAATAAAGCAAGATTCTCTTTTTTACTAAATTTGACACAACTATCTAGCAATACTTGCAATTGTGTTCACCATAACTGAAAGGGCTGCCTTGGTTCATCTTTTGATTTGTGTTTGGATTTTTCTTGTTTTAATGCATACAATGTAATGTAAAACTGCATCTAAAATCCAAGCAACACCTGTAAGTAAGGAGTGACCTTCAGATGCACAGAACAAATCCCAGGGGTCAGGTGGCTCCCACGTGCCAGCTGTGAGCGAGGACAAAGGCAAGGAGCTGGAGTGAACACAGTAAATGGGTTACAATAACCTGAATTATGTCATTACACCTCCTAGCAGCTCTGAAGGGACTCACGAATTATCACCACTAGTGGTTCATGAATACTTTCTCCTCACACTGATTTGCTCATATTTCTAGTCTGGAGTCATTGTACTAATACAGCTGAAATCTTTCTTTCATAGAAGAAATGATATTTCAGTGAGAGTGGATTCCCTGTCCTAAAACCAGCAAGAATTTATGACTCATACTCATCTTTGCTATCTCATTGCTTTCTGCAGTGAGTCAGTGACAGGTTTGAATTTTAATCTGTAATAGATAAAATCTTGAAAGCAGCTGTTGCCCAGTGCTGGAAGGAAGTGTGTCAAGATCAGGAATTGGGGAATTCAGACATTTTACCTATTTTTTCTACAAATCTGAGCACAACTGTATAGATGCAAAATAGAAATTCTTTGTTATCTGGCATTCAGAAAGACACCTGACAACCACTGACAGACTGGTGTTGTTTCCTAGACAGTAGGAAAGCAAGCACTGAATATGAAAATAAAAAGTGAAGGGAAAAGAGAAGGCATGTGAGGGTGTGGAAACAGTGACTGTCCTGTGCTGCCCTGGACCTGAAAGGCAGCCACAAAGGAAGAAATGCTTCAGGCGTGACACCTGCACTCCTCTGCTGGTGTTGTACAGCCCTAAGGACACCCAGCCAGCCTGGTGAGGAGGCTGCAGGGGTGCTCCTGTGCCACTGCAGCTCCCCTAGGCAGGCTGCTGAGTTACCCTGCTCCTGCTGGGCTCTTCTGGTGGGAGGTTGAACCATCTGATGATCTAAAAATTCAACAGAAATAAAGCACACCTTCCAGCTCTAACACTTGGCATTTCATGGTGATAAGTAACTCATAAGAGTTACTTAAACTAACTATAAATAAAAATGAAATGCAAAAATCACCTTCAAGCTGCAGATTAGCAGAGGTGAAAACAGCCAGTGTTAGGGGTAGGGAGCAGAGAAGGAAGGTATAGCAAAAGCATGGATTCTGTAACTCTGCAGAGGGTGGAGAACAAACCATTCTGGAGCCAGACAAGTCTGTCCTTCCTAAGCTAGTGCTGAGACCAAGCACCTGCCCAGAGCAGCAGAGCTCTGTGCCAGTGCCTCCATCCTGTGTTCCCACAGCTCATGTGGAGCAGCTGCATTGCTGCTGGGTAATTTACCCAGGTCAGTCAGGAGAGGACAAGCCTGCACCTCTGCACTGCTGCCTGCACAGCTGGCCTGGCTTTGCCTGGCACAGAGCTCATGCTCTCCACAGTGGCTGGCTCCGTGCTCTGCTGGATTAAGAGTGGGAATGAAGGTGGCACACAAGGACCTTTCAGTCTCCCACCCTCTGCCAGTGAGCAGTACAGGGGGAGCACGGCCAGGACAGTGATGTGACCTGGCCAAAGGTTCTTCCATACCAGTTCCATGGAGTGTCATGGCCAGCATGGGGACTCACCTGGAAAGGGCTGATTGCTGCTCAGGGACAGGCTGGGCATCGGTCAGCACATGCTGGGAAATTGTGCTGGGCATCACTTCTTTCCCTCTGGTCTCAGTCCTCTCTCCCCCTGTCTTTCAGCATCAATGTTAGTACTACTACTACTACTACTATTATATTTAAATTATTAAACTTTTTATAGCAACCCATGAGGTTTCCCTTTTTTCCAGTTCAGGAGTAGGTGACCAAGCAGCTGCATTGTACTCAGTTGCCAGTTGGGTTAAAACAGGACAACAGCTTTTTATACAACTATTATATACTTACATATTTACTTATTTATTTAATGACATATTTATTTATATACTGACATATACCTTAATACGTTAATAAGAAATAAATAAATATTAAAGCAGCTGTGAATATATATTTTACATGTGTATCTATATACATGTTCATATATATGAATGTCTAAAATGTTGCATTCATAGCTTAAGGGAGCTCACAAATATTCACACAAGTACAAATGCATGTGCAGATGGATGTGAGTACCTAGACACGTGTGATGTATGTGCACATCCATTTCAGGGTGTGCATGAACAGGCCACTGCTACACACGGAGAAGAGAACCCACAGAGGATGTGTGTCCCAGGCACTCGTGCAGCACTCCTGGCAGGTGTTGGGGTGAGTGTGGCTGAGCAGGGCAGGGCTCCTGCAGAGCGAGCTCACCTGCTCAGCGATGAGCCGCGCCAGGACGTCCATGCGCGAGCCTGACTCCGAGATCACCTTGGCGGCGTTGATGACATCAGACGTGTGCTTCAGTGGGCCTCTTCCCCTTCAGAGGAAACACAGAATAAATCACAGCTGTGCAAACTAGGTGCAGAAGAGCTCAAGTGAACAAAGCAATAATCCATACACAAGTGACAGTAATTAAATCCCCCCCCCCCACTGTTTTCATGTCCCACAAATCTGTATTGTTTGGCATCACCAGGATGCAGAAGCACCAGAAAGGTGTTACAGTTTCTTCATATTGAAAGTACAACCCATGCCAAATCCTGATTTTAAGTAATTTCTTAGGCAGTTTGCTATTCCCAGAGCTACATGAAGTTCTTTTTCCATTCCATGAATTTTCTAGTAATATGTTCCAAGGAACTTCAGCTCAGTGTATTCTGAGAGCCATTACGGATGTCTGGTCAGAAAAATAATGAGATTGGTTTAGTTGGGATTTTAAAAATGTAACTGGTGCACCCACGTACAGAGATGTATGAACAGGGCTGCAAATCAGCTTACACGTGCCACTCAGAACACAGATATGCCATATCAGAAAAATACTTCCCAAACAATTACAGAATTTCTTCAGAATTTCAGTCTAGAAAAACAGCCAAATTCTTGTGAACAGTCTGCCAAAAAGTCAGACACTTTCTGTATGCCCTCCTCCCAAGCCCAAAAAGCTGCTTGGATTACAGGAGAATGTTTCTAAGAACTAAGAAATAAAAAATGACTACTTAAGGCAGGAAGTATGACCACCCTTCTCTTCACATTTGCTTGAGCCTCAGCCTCTTTAATGCTGAAACACTTCACCTAAACTAAAATCAACACTTAATTGTACTTCATGCATGTATAAAGTGAGCAATGCTGCTGAACTCAGCTTTGCCTTCCAACATCTTTGAGAGGAATACTTCTAGTTTTACTAAGTATTTCATTTCCAAAGGCCCCAAATGAATTTACAAGTTCTGCACTGGACAAAGGAAGTAGACAACATGAAAAATTTTAATGTAACTCTTTGTTCAAATGAAAAGACCCTTTTCATCCAAGTCAGTATTGTTTTATATGCAAAGAACATTTCAGAAAAAAAATAATTTCACCTAAAAATATTATATTATGGACCTGTCAGGAAATGACAGTGGTGACAACACAAGATGACAGATCTCTTCTTGATTAATCATATTGCTCAGCAAAGAACTACCAGTTCTTGGGGGAAAGCATACTTTATTAATTACAGTTCCTTATTCTCAATTTTGGAAGCCCGCATTTGGAACAACCTAGAATCCAGTATTTTACACATCACTGTTCCACAGAAAGACATCCTCTTGTTATGGTACACCTACTTGGCAAATTGATCAGTTTATAGAAGAATTATAGTGTATGTAGGGAATGAATTTGCAAATGCAATCCCCTGTATCTAGGATTAAGTACTTGAGCCCTCACCCATACCCTTTATTTGCCTTTCCTGGTCTTTTCCCTATGAATCCTTAGGCCCAATTCTTTTGTGTGCCTTACTGACCCTTCCCTCCATTCCAGGCCACTGGTTCATTGGTATTTGCACTGCAGCAGTTCCAAAGGCCAGAGGTTTGTCAGGCAAGCACAGCACATCCTCTAGCTGCTCTACAAACTACCAGCAGCCCAGCACCCTCCTGGCAAGGTCCTACCCAGGACCAGACAAACAATATCAAAGATGAACACAACCCAGGATTAAAACAGCCAGCAAAGGAGAGATGGCATGAACAGTTCAAGCCATTTCTGCTTAGGTAGCTCTTGTACCTGCAGCAGCTTTGCTGACATTTGAAGCTGGCTTTGAGGGTAAAGTTCTCCAATTAAACCTGGAATTTCCTTGTAGCCTCAGAGATCTAATGAGAATGAAACAATTCCACCCAAAAATTTACTTCAGACAAATAAAAATGAAGTATTATTTTTCACCACAGAGATGGCCACCCTCAGAGCCACTAGAGGAGCACTCAGCAATGACTGTTCTGGAGATTTCTGCCCCACGGGGCACCTAGTGCACCAATGGGTCACGTTCTCCACTACAACCCCTAAGAAATGTGAGGTGTGATGCCTCTGAGCTTTCAGCCACAGCACAGTCTTGAAATGAATGTTAAATACCTAGGAATGCCTCAGCCTTGCACTAAAAGGTGCTGAAACCCCACAACGTTAAGGTACCGGCGCAAAGAAAGCTCCTTTGCTACACAACCAAGAACTGTCTGTGCTCCTTTTTTTACCTTCATGTAAAATCCAGAGCCTTTGAAAAAAAGCACAGGCTTAGCTGCCTTAGGGTATAGCATAATAAGCCGTTAGTCTCAGTTTACGATGCTGGGAAATTCTGAGTACTCTGAAAAGAATACTTGGGAAAATACACCAGATCTGCTGAATCACTGGCCAAATGGAAGAAACTGAGAGAAAAACCACAAAACCCACAACAGGAGGCTAGTTCAACTGCAAACACTAAGTAATCTGGACATAAGTAATCTGATTAGAGAGTCCCCATAGCATTCCTGTATGAAGCCAGAGGGGTGGTTTCAGCCATCAGTCTGCAGAGGAGTCCCTGAGGCAGAGCTGCTGTGGGAACAGCAGACAGCACACCAAGGTACACACCCCAGTAAAAGCCCACACAAAGCTTTCCTGCAGCTTTCCCTGTTTGGGTATGGCTGCAGCTCTGTGAGGGTTTGCATGAAGGAAGCTTGGACACAGTGGGAAGCTGTGCAAAAAGGATGATTACATGTCATAAACATAAGGAGAGACAGAAGGGTTTACACCCACAACAACCTGGAACTTTGGAGTGGGGCAAAGGAGGAATGAGGAGCAAGAGAGGCTGTGGGACACACGGACAGTATTGCATTCGCAGGGATGCCCCGACGAAGGCAGCAATGATGCATCTGACTCCATGTTCTCAGAAGGCTAACATCACTTTATTATACTGTATTACTGTATTATACTATACTGAAGAATACAGAAAGGATACTTACTGAATGCTAAAAAGATAATAATGAAACTCATGACTCTCTCTAGAGTCCTAACACTGCTTGGCCCCAATTGGCCAATGAGTCAAAACAACTCACAGCAGAATCCAATGAAACAATCACCTGTGGGTAAACAATCTCCAAACACATTCCACACATGAGCACAACCCAGGAGAAGCAAATGAGATAAGAATTGTTTTCCTTTTCTCTGAGGCCTCTCAGCTTCCCAGGAGAAAAATCCTGGGTGAAGGGATTTTTTCAGAGAATGTGAATGCCACAGGAGAGCCCTTGAGGGGCTCCAGGGCTGTGGTTGGTGGGGAGGGGGTTCAGAGCTGCCCTTCTGAAGGAACAGCCTCGGGCTGTGGCACCACTGCCAGTGGGCGAGAGCAGCCAGCGCCTGCTTGAGGGTGGGACTGCTCCATCCTCTGCTCAGGGCTCTGCAGTCCTGGGATTTTATTGTTTGAAATTCAGCAAAGGAGTTCCATGGCTTTTGGTGAATAACTGCCTGGCTCAATGCATGTTGCCTTCAAATGATACCAGTGCAGCTGTGCACTTCGTGAATTCCCACTTCTTCTGATTTAGCACAAACTCAGGAGATTCAGAATGCCACTAACTCAGATTAACTCCCTGAATCCAGATGTTAGAGACACATAAAGTCCATTAAATCATCTAGGTTGTTTTCCCTAGCCACAGCACAGCTTCCTACCAGTTTTATATGCACTTGCATTTTTTTCTGGTAAGTTTAAAGTATGAAAAAACACTTTGCTTGAAAGGCAATGTTTCCCTGAGCTATCCATCTCACTCTCTGGAATGCTTTTCCAGATATTTAGGTCTTTCTCTGTATCACTGTAACAGCATCCCTTTCCTCCTACAGACCTATTCCCTGATCCTCCTCCACTACATGCTGAAGCATCCCAAATCACAGTGGATAGTGCAGACCTGCGTGCAATAGCTCATGCACCTACTGCTGTTCAAGAAAGAAGCAGAAAAAAAACCTTTCCACCAAGTACCATCTGCTGGTCAACAGATCTCAAAATTTTTCCTTTGTGGAGTCTTCTACCTCTTCCCCTAAAAAAATTCTAATTTCTCTGCTATGGAAACTGTGTCATATTTCATTTTTTTTTCAAGTCAGCTTTAATCTTACTGTTCCTTCCCTGCTTCCAGTCTTCAATGTTTAAGGCCAAACTTCTCCTCACACACTCAGTTACTGACATTCGTCCCCAGTGATTTCATTGAGTTCATAACCTACAACAGTAGATCCTGGATTCACTGCATGGAAGATCTAATACATGTATTTTCCTCACACCTCACTATTTCCAAGCATAAAGCCTTACAGGTTGAGCAAGCTGATAATACATTCAAGGCAATTGAAAAAAAAAGACAAGACATGAAGTACTATACATGCAAGCAATTATATCTCCCCAAGGTAGTGATGGATTTTATTAGAGCTCAAATCAGCTACAAACAACAACAAAACTGGGAGTAGGCCATAAATAATATATAGAGAGACATTCAGCTAAGTCTAACAAGAAAGAAAATGGATTATGTACAAAGAAAGCTGTTTGGAGTATCTCCACAAAGGTATAGGAAGAAAAAACCCACCTCAGTGTTTCTTGAAAGGTACAATGACAGGAAGAAAGAAGTTGGACTGTGTTAATTAGTACAACACCAAGGGTTTTGGGTAATTGTGCAAGAGAGCCTGAAGCCTCTCAAATCTCATCGTTCTTGCTCCAAGCCAGGACAACCGAGAGCAGCTCCATCCCTGTCTGCCTAAACTTAACCACATCGATCTGCAGGCATCAGTATGGGGCATCATTTTCTGTTCTCCTTCACATTGGAATTTCACTCTGAAAAGCAGTGATACTCTTAATTCTTGCAGTAATGAAAACTTCTACTTCAAAACGGTTTTTGCCATCATCTTTTTCAGGAAGAGAAATTCTTCTGTCTGCAAGCAAAGCTGGTGGCTTCCCCCTCCACACTGTGCGCTTCCCCCCTGCCCCCAGCAAATGCTCCACACTCGCCCTGCATCAGAAGCAGGCAGAGGGAGCTGCAGTGAGCAGTGGCTGAGGAACTCCCCCCTCACACCCCAACACAGGGA